ACCACTCTAATAATCATCAAACCCCTCCATGGTTCTGTGATATCCGAGTCCTCGTCCCTGGCTAAGCGAGAACGACAGTCAGTCGGATTATTCAAAGTAAAGGCTTCCATCGAGCACCTTACACCGTCCGTGTTGGCTACTCTGTAGACTCGCTCTGGGCAGGGGAAGTCTTCATACCTGATCACCCAGTCATTTGGTTGAATCGTCGGACCTGTTTTAAGGGTTTGCTGCCAGGCCAGCGGGAGCGCTTCGATGAGCTGGTGCGCTCTCTCTTGGACATTCCTAGAGTGCTTCAGCCTGGGTCTTAGGCTATCCGGCGAGACCCATTTCTGGAGGGCTTGGTCCCAGAGGTCGGCCACTGTATAAATCCCTCCTTGGCCCAGGTAAGCCATGGAGAGTTAGCTGTGAGCGTGAATGGGTTTCCTGTGTCATCCACGATGAAGGGATTTCCGAACAACGGCTGTCTCCGAATAGTGTGCCACCTATTGGGGACGGGTTTTTGCTTGGGACCTCGCGTCCTCCATAGCTTGATCATGGAAGGCCACAGGGGATCATTGTGGATGTCCTGTCTCATGGCACGTGCCTTGGCATCTATTTGCCTACAGCGGCGAGGGCCAGGGATTGACCAGTGATTATTGGTCAGCCAGCGGAAGGGGTGTATGTGGAATGGGGGGAGCGATTCCGGTGCCAGCCCAACAATCTGCAGGCAGGCCAGGGGTCTCCATGGAATGTTGTTCCCCACAAGGGGTCTGGCTAAAACCTTGAACATCAGGGCGTCAGTCTCCCTTTGGGGGTCTAATATCCCCAACCCTCCTTTGGCCCTCGGCTGCGTGAGGGTGTCCCGAGATACTCTACTCAAACAACCCTCTGTTTTGCCAGAATTCTTCCATAAGTATGATGTAAGCACCTTGCCTAGCCTAGTATATTGGGGAGGAGTCAGTGACCACACTGCCAGTTTGTACCATATGGCCGCAAGGACAGCGTTGTTAATGGCTAGCGCCCGCCCCACCAGCGATGTGTGCAGGCCCTCCCATTTGGCAAGCCGCTCTATGGTTGTATTTAGTAAGTTATGCCCATGATCCAGAGGGGGGCCCAGTGTCGTCAGCTTCACTCCAAGTATCTTAATGGCATCCTCTTTTCGGGCCCAAGCCATGGTGGGGGTGGACGGCGCGGGCTCATCTAGAGGGTGGAACCACCACCCTTCCATCTTTGAACCCCAGTTGACCTTCATGTCGGCCGCCAGCGAAAAGAGGTGGATAGTTTGAGTAAGGGCCCGCAAGCTGTCCTGGTCCGCCCGAACGAGGACGGTGAGATCGTCACCAAAGAGCGACGTAACCGGAATGAGATGGACCGGGATCTCTGGAATTGGCACTTTACCGATACCTGGGTGGGCTCGAATCAGCGCTACCAGAGCCTCCATTACTATCACGAAGAGGAGGGGTGCAATGGGATTCCCTTGGCGCACAGACCTCTGCAGCTTTATTGGCGCTGAGAGGTGGCCGTTAAGCATTATATTTGTAGTGGCCGGTTTGTGAAAACGTTGTACCCAGTGACAGAATCGAGGACCAAAATTCATTCTGTCGAGGCACATATCCAGGAAATCCCAGTCTACATGGTCGTATGCTTTTTCAAAGTCTATAAACAGAATAGCCGCTTGGGCCCGGTGTTGGCGTGCATATTTGATGGTTTCATTGACTAGGAGGATGTTATCTTGGATATTGCGATTGGGCATGAACCCTGACTGGTCTGGATGGATCAGCAGGTTCATAAACGGCAGCAGACGAATAGTAAGGGTTTTGACCACCAGTTTATAGGGGACCGGAAGGAGGGTGATAGGTCTATAGTTCCTAACGTCCTCCTTGTCACCCTTCTTGTATAGGAGCGTAGTGACTCCTTGCCCGATCATGCCTCCAAAGGAGCCTTCCTTTTGGACAGCAGCTATGAGCCTCATCAGATCATCTTTAAGGAGGTCCCAGAAGAAAACCCAAAATTCCTTTGGGAAGGAGTTGATACCTGGTGTTTTCTCATCCTCCATATCCTGCAAGGCCGCCCATATCTCCTCCTGTGAGAGCGGTTCGTCCATGTCTGATTTCTGTTTCTGTGTTAGGTGCGACTGCAGTGGCCGAAGCAGCTCTTCCCTGGCATCCCGAACCTCCGTCTGGTTCTTGGAGGGAGTCCGGGATGTAAAGAGGTCAGTATAGTATTTGGCAGCATAATCAGTTATAGCATAGGCATTCGTAGCGACTGGTGCATTGTCATCCAAGGGATGTCTAAGCCTAGGGACGGTTGAAGCGCGTGAACGGGCTTTCGCTTTATTAAAGAAGGACCTTGCCATTGTTCCTTCTGTATGTTGTCGCTTAATTCTAGCTTGTATCCTCCATGCCTGTGCCTGACTTTGCAGGTAGTCTTGGAGATGGTCTCTAGCCTCTTGCAGCTTTTCAAAGGAAGGGATGTATGAGGGGTCTTGTGTGAGTTTATCATCCCATTCGTCCAGTTCCAGCATGAGGCGATCGATGACAACTTTCCGGTCCCTTGCATATTGGATGGAGAATTTCTTGGCCCTGTCTCCAAGTTGAGCAATGCCTTCATTGAACCAGTCCACTGTCTGCTTCGCCTCCATATGTGGTTTCGTAGACTGCCAGTACTGCCAAAAATCCTGGATCATATCCTTAAATTTGGTGAGCTGCAATAGCGACGTATTGAGTTTGTAGAAGCCCGGTCCTCTTTTAATATGAGTGTGGAAAGAGAGCCTTAGTGTTATCATTCTGTGGTCAAAGGATTTACAAGGGCTGATTGTTGCTATCTCTGCAGTCGTGGTCAGACCCATCAGTTCCTTGGAGACTAGTGCGAGGTCAATTCGCGAGTTGGCCAGGCCCTGTTGCCCTCTGGAGGATAAGCAAGTGTATGCTTTTTGGGTGGGGTGCAACACCCTGAAGGCGTCTTCCAACTCCCTATCTGCCATCAGCTGTTTGAGCATCATTATGTCCGGGGCCGTTTCTGGTAACGAGGGTAGATCCGGGTCCCGCCTTTGGGAAGTGGACCTCCGGTCCATTGCCGGGTCGAGGGTAGTGTTGAAGTCACCAATCATAATGGTCGGGGCGTCCTTTGGTATGTGCTGGTGCAAGGTAAGCCACAGGTCTACCCTTTCTATGGGATCATTAGGGGCATAGACATTGACGAGATAGAATTCGTCTTCTTCATATGCCGCTTTAAGGAACACCCATCGGCCTTGTTGCTGGTCGTGTTGCACCGATAGTGGTTTAAGTTTGGAGGAGGGAGGCAACCAGATCGCCACTCCCGCAGACGCCCTATTAACAGCTGGCGCCGAGTAGCATGTGTAGGGCCAAATAAATTTGGCCTTCGCTGCGTGTTGAGGAGTGTCTTGGAGATGCGTTTCTTGTATGCACACCGCGTCAGGCCAAGCGCCGGAGACCGGGGATTTAACCATGTTCCATATGGCATTCCTCTTATCAGTTGTTGCTTGAATGAGTCCGTTAACGTTTAGTGACCGGATGTCAATGTCTGCCTTGGCCAGCTTGACCGCCCAATGGGGGTGGGTTCTGATCCGGGGGAGAACGGGAGGCGACGGGGGCCGGTGTGGTGGGGGGGGGCGGTGCTGGACAGGGGATCGGGTCGCAGCTGGCAGGGTTATGGGTACCGTGGGAGTAAGGGCGTCCGGCAACGGTCTGTTACTCAGGGGCTCCCTTGCTGGTCGACATGTGCTGGGTCCTGACATTTGATTCATTTGCATCTTATGGTAATCCCCTTAACACTTTGTATCCTCAGTCCACTTTTTTAATCTGGATAACAGAGGAAGGGTCATCCCAGTGATTAAGTTCTTGAAGCACATTATCCTCCAAGAAGGTTTGCATAAAGAGCAGGACCTCAGGCCGCGTCCAGGCCTCGCTGCGTACAAAGCGAGAAGTGCTGAGGTCCATCAACTGCTGGTGTGTAAACCAGCTTCAGGTTGTATTCTTCTGCAGTCTCACTTTTGGCTCAATGAGGAGGATGACGGGGATAATGGCTTTGGGAAATGTTAAGGAGTTTGGCAGCATCGCGCCCGTCACTCCTTTCGCATCTGTTTCCCGGACCCAATATTTGAGCCTCTTGAGAATGACTGTCGTGGACGGATTACCCTTCCATCCCTCCAACGTCAAGCTGCCTAGGGGCGATAGTTGGGACCCCGGGGGTGTTTGCTGTGGTGGCTTGAGGCCCAACACCCATTGCCCTGCTCCCTTAACTCTAGTGAGGGGAAGAATAAGAACCCCGGATGGTAGTACTGCCGGAGTGCTACCATCGTCCAAGAGTCTCACTAATTGCTTCAGTTTTTTGGACAGAATCCCTGGGTCCGGGACTTGATTATCATCAGAGTGGAGGTCATCATTGTCATCTTGTATGACCTCCACCACCCGTGGTCGCTGTGGAGGGCGATTGGGAGGGGTGATCACGAGCTTGTGCCCGCTGTGGCTATGAGGATCGTGTGTGAAGCATTGTACACTCCCCTCCACCTTCGGTATCATGTGGGGAAGTGTATGCAGTGTGTCACACAATTCAAAAATGAGGGCTCTGGGCCAGGCAAGACCTTCGTAGCTGAAGATGTCGGCCTGTGCCTTTGACTGGATGTGAGAGGGGGAGGCTGCAGACTTTGCATACTCACCGATTCTGTCGAGGAAGTCGTTGACCACGAAGACTATCGCCGCCCCCACTTCCTTCCAGTCTATGGACAGTGTGTTATCGTATGTTTCTACCGTTGCGAGGACGCGTGGACTGTACATTAGAACTGGTTTGGCTTCCCCCCAGTGTTTGTTATTAAGCCTGTCTGCCGGTCAGTCATCCATCAGTGAAAATATTTTAACAAAGGTCCACTCCATGAGGAATTCCAGTTTTTGCTTGACTTCCTCATTGGCAGCAATCGGCTGTGATGGTGGCACTGGGTCATCTATGTCCATGTACCTCGGAGCCGGGAGTGCCAGTTGGATATCCATGTCAGTGGGCAGATGCCGTTGTTGGTTTTGAGGCATCTGGGGTTCCACAGGGGCCGAGGTATCCATGTCCTGAGCCATGCTATCCCCGATTAGCAGCCTGCCCCCAGCACCACCCCCCTGTAGCTGCAGCATCTGGTGCTATGGCCTGTGGTCAAGTATTACAACCCGCTGATGCCAATACCTTTGCAGCTGTTCCTGCTGTTGTTGCAGGATCTGCTGTTGCTGGTAGCATAGCTGCTCCTGCCACTGCAGGTGCATGTGGTGGAGTAGTTGCTGCTGCTGTATTAGTCGTTGCTGGTGTTCTTGCTGGTGGTACTGTGCCAGTTGTGCATGCAGTAGCAACTTGTACTGCTCCTCATACTCTCTCTGCTGCGAGGCCTGCTGCTGTTGGATGTGGTGGGCCTGCTGCATGGACAAGTGCATATTTCATTGTGCATGGTGCATCTGTTCCTGGTACTGGAGCAACTGCTGATCGGTGCACAGTTCCCGGGATTGGTACTGGGCGAGGTGGCCCTCATCCAGGTGTTGGTGCTGGGCCGCGTTATGGTAGTTATGCTCAAGTGGCATATGAGGCAGGTGCGAATCCTCCATGTGATGGTCTCTTGTGCAGTCCTGCTGCTGTTGGGCCCCGTCTTGGATCCGGCTATCGCTGTGGACAGGGTGGCTGTGCGGGGCTTCTTCCTGCTGATGGGGTTGTATCTGTGTCTGCTGCCGCACTGGCTCCGGCAGGTGCTGCTGAGTTAGTTGATCTATGGGCATAGCCAGACCTGACTGGTGTTGGAGGTGCAGAAGGTCAGCAAGGGGTTGTGGGCGTTGCTGTCCCTCGCGCTGGAACTGCACTGGCAATGGAGGGGCCGGTGTCTGTTGCTCATCTGTTATTGATTCAACGGGCTGTCGAGAACCAGGTTGCAAGTCAGGTTCGGACTTTTGGTCAATAAGGAGGATTTTTTTCTCCCCTGTAATCTGGGAAACTACTGTTCTCACCTGGCTTGATGTGTGGCCGGAGCCGTGTACAGGGTGGGCGGGGCGGGCGGTCCCCTCAGGATGCCCGCTATTGTGACAGCATTGACGCTGCCGGTCCTCTATTGCCCTGCCAGCACAACCTCCCCCTTGTGGAGAGGTGGCCTGGGTGTCAGTGTCGCTGTCCAGGCGAACAGGGCGTTGCTGTTCCTGTCAGTGGGGCTGTACTGGCAGCGGGGACTCCGGGGGCTGTTGCTCTTGTTTTGTTGGTGTGACAGGCTCGCGAGGAACAGGTTCCAAATGAGGTTCAGACTTCTGTCCAAAGAGGAGGACTTTTCCTTCCCTGATGGTCTGGGAAGCAACCGTTCTCATCTGATCTGTTGTGCCCCCGGGGTCCTCTTCGGGGTGGCCGGTCTCCGCAGGGTTCCGGCCGCTGTGACAGCATTGGCGCTGCCGGTCGTCTCCACCCCCTTTTGGAGAGGCGTCCTGTGGGGGTGCGTCCTCTCTCTCTCTTTCTCTCCTCTCTCTCTTTCTCTCTCTCTCTCTCTCCTCTCTCTCTCTCTCTGTCTCTCTGTATCTCTCTCTCTCTCTCTCTCTCTCTCTCTCTCTATATATATATATATATCGCCATCTCTCTCTCTCTCTCTCTCGCTCTCGCTCTCTCTCTCTCTCTCTCTCTATATATATATATCATCATCTCTCTCTCTCTCTCTCTCNAGAGAGAGAGAGAGAGAGAGAGAGAGAGAGAGAGAGAGAGAGAGAGAGAGAGAGAGAGAGAGAGAGAGAGAGAGAGAGAGAATATTAAGTAGAGTACAATAGAGTAGAGTAGAGTGGAGTAGAGTAGAGTAGAGTAGTGTACCGTAGAGTATTGTAAAATAGAGTATCGTCATCCTTCTTGAATAAATTCCCCACGTCCATCTGCCTCATCTTTGAGATCTTGGCAAGCTTGGACGGTGTCACACTTTTTCTAGTCGGGTCCCTTCGGGCGACCAGAAAGCCAACACGCTGTCACACAAGATTTTGATGTTTGTTTGCAATAAATAAAATAAATTAAATAAAGTAAATTCCCTCCTATTGTGTGCGTCCGGCTTCGAGTGAGACCCTTAAATTGCAGTCTTCAGCGGTTCCCGGTCTTAGGAGTCTTTTATTTTGATTCGGAACAACAAAAATCATGTAATTAATAATCATGGAATTTTTGGTGTGTCCTGCATGCATAAATTTTGCCAATTTGCTAGCTTTGAGAACTGTGACAAAATTTTCATGATGCATAATCATCAAGCAAAGTCGATGCAGATGGAGCAAGACCGACTGACTCGAGCAATGACAAGGATAAATGAGGGGTGAATGAAAACTTAATCTCAGAAAGTACGGATGAAAGGGCAAGGCCGACATTAGTCATGAACCCTCACTCATCACACAAGATCACATGATTAATCACTTATTTGGTTGTGCATTCCCTGTACCTTGAGCCATGTCCACGTTCTTCCTGAGACTGTGGCCTCTGAATGTATAGTCATCTGAACCCTGCAAGTTCCAAACACTTCCATCCAAGGCCTAGAACACAAAAGTCAATCATAGCGCAAAATTCCTCCCATAAAGTAGGAAGACATGGTTGAGAGAAAATCCCACGTCTGAGATGTCGTAACTCAGATGGTTCGGTCACTGCCTCATAATCAATCCTTGCTAGAGAAATGTATCTTTTGGCCCGATCCACCAAGTCACCCCAACTAGAGTCATCTATGAGAAGGAAAGGAACTGGAGGTCTGGGGTAGTCTATGTAGAGCTTGAGCCCGAAGCTATGGACCATCCTAACACCATTCTTATCAAGTTCCCTCTCCCTCTCCTCAAGATACCTTGCCGCTGAGATCTGGACTGAATCAAAGAGATCATGAGCTTCCTTGCCCTTCTTCAGGTAGATCCTCAAGTCATGAAGAGTACCTTCTGCAAAGCTAGTAAGAACAATGAAGATCGACAAATCTTCTTGTTTGAGGCCCACTACACTGACATATGTATACCGGACAACATCCTTGAGGGTGATCTTATTAAGATTGGTCAGAACCGACTCACTGACGGGGGATGACTGAACTTCACTCATGGGCTGATGCCGGGTGTTGGAACTGACTCCGTGCCTTTAGGTGAAAATACCGTCTGGCTGACTCCTGATCTCTGAGGGGAAATGACAGTGACTAGATGTTGATTGGATTCGTCTAAAGCTCTTTGGTAACCTCGACGGCGGAATGTTTGCTGAAGTAGCAAATCACTGAAATTCTGACCACTGAAGAAGTTAAGAGTGGAACAGAAAGAGAAATTGCAGGTTTCAGGGTAGCATTTGCTAATTGAGATGTTGATGGCGGAATCTGGGCACCTTTGCGTTCAACTGAGCCTTGCCCTCACCTGCTCCACCGTCTCTAGAAACGAACCAGTGCTATGCAGCTTGTCCTCATGACCATAAAAGTATAACACATACTCCATATATTTTTCTTCCTTGACTATCTGATCTGCCAATTCCCTCTGTATCTGCCTGAGTGAATCTATATCCTGACATGCATCATCTTCTGATCCCTCTCTCTTGTCTCTATTTGAACTGTATTTCATCACAAGGACCTCATCACCCCTCCTAATTTCTCCCACACTCCAGCCCGTCAGTGACTAGGGTAGGTCGCTGGTAGCTTCGATTGACTCCACATTCAGAGCGGAGAACTGTTCTCAAGCTCGGGATCGTTGGGGTTAGTCCGAGCATCTAATAGCTACCAAGCACTTTCTTCGCAGGGTATGGGACACTACCTGTTCAAACGCCGGAGCGGAGTCTGGTAGCTCTCTAGCCACGTTCTGATATTGGTATTAGGGCAACTCTGATTGTCAGGTAAAACACAGTCCGATCAGGGCAGATTCGGAAAAACAGCTTAATCACGGTCAGTGAAGCGGTTGTCGTTGACTATTTGATTTGCACCTATGAATAAAATAGATGGATAGGAATAAAGTTCACGCCTTAGGTTTCCCGAATCCGCTGATGATCATTCACTGTCGGGGCTCATTATGTCTTTGTCTGCAAAAGGAACATATTGGTTTGTTATCCCAACTTATCTGCGGACGTTATCTGCCCTGACGAGGTGGTAATGAATCAAGGTAGGACCGAACTAAACTCTTTTTAATGTCATTTTCCTAGCGGGATCACATGCTTGATTAGTCAGCACTCTGGTAAACACTATGAGAGTCTTTCCCATTCAAATGTTGTACTAGGAGAAACAGATTACGGTCTCATCTCGAGACAACATTGCAGCGTAGCACTGCTATTGAGTCTGACCCAAAAAGGTTCTTGAAGCATCGTAGAAACGAAGACCAATGGCGACCAAGGTTCTGCTGAAAACTGAGTCTCGCTCGAACTGCACTGGGGCATCATTGAATTTTAATTTTTTTTCGAGTGATTCACAGAATATAATTTGCAGCAAGCCTAGTCCAGTTAATGAGCATGATTGATCACTGCTACCATTTTGCGTGCGGCACTAAGGGGTGTTGATCTTCATCTCTGCTCATTCTCAATGCGGGGAGCTTAGCTTCTACTTGTGCCTACGTGGGAAGTCATTGACCCCAGGTCCCTCTAATGTCCCTTGCAAAGTACCATTTGTTACAGCCTCGTTTACCGCAGCCTTAGCGGTCACTTGAACACTATGTCGGTTCTACTTCGTTACCGCACACGAGAGACATCTCCCAATAGTGTTTTCTGGCCGGTTTTCTGTGCAGGTCAGTCCCCGAGGCCTCTCCCAGACGGAGTATTACACAGGGTGGTACTTATGAAGACACCCACTTAAGTAAGGAAATAATGGACTTTACATGTAATTCACAAGGGTATCTTTTAAGACAAGTATCCTCAGCTCATGCAGTCACTCACGACAACTTTTGCATTGAATACAGGGCAGGGACTTTGCTCTTTTACTCACAAAGCAGCAGTATCATCACAGATGATGGTACGAGCCGTCAACCTCTCATCTCACTCGTTCACATCCCCTCGCTTGCTCGCATACAACTATACACTTCGTTTGGCCCCCTCAATCATCAAGACTGACCCCACTCTAGTATGCTTCTTACTTCTTCTCTCGTCCTACGAGTGCCTTAACTGGTCATCTACATTCACCCCACCACCAACGACTTGGTGCTAACTATGAAGAATAATGCAGCTTGTACAGTGGCTCCAATAACATCATCAAAGAGAAGGGACACCGTTCTCTCCCATGCGTCTGACTTCATTGCGCGTCATCCCTTAAAGTTTCTTCTTTCTCCATTGTGACCGAGAGCGAGAAGAGGCAAGCCATTAACGAGCGGTGCTCGAGGCGGGGCAATGCCAGAGCATTACAACCTTGCGGAGTAAATGAAAGACTCCTCACGAATTGACCCTCATTAGCAGCGTGATTGCTAAAACTAGGAGGTTAAAATCGGTCGACTCTTCCCTATGTGGGTCGTCAAGCCGCCCATCTCCTGAAAGTCACTAACTGCCAGAGTAAGCTCCCCTCTTGCATGATTGCACTGTTTGAATCAGCGTACGTCGTCTGAACGGATGGTCAGCCCCCACGCACTTCTCGCTCACTCCATACTCACGCATGGCCGTAGTGTGGCTTGCTCCTCAATCTTCATCGTCACGGGCTTGCCCCATCTAAATACCATTGACACTAGTGACTGCTTCTGAGCGTTTTCATCGCAGTCATTGTTTGATCCCACTTTCTTGAAGTAATGACTTCCTCCAACATGCACACCTCCTCCATGTTGGATGTGCGACTCCTCGTCTGCGCTCCATCACTGCCATTTTATATTTTTTGAACGAAGCTGCTCTGTTTGCTGTGTGGTGTGGCCGTGTTGTTGGTATAACAGCGATTTCGTCAAAACAGACATTTTATATTTTTTGAACGAAATCGATATTGTCATTTTTGAGATGATTCAGGTGCAAAAACCATTACAAATGGGCGTTTTGGTGTGAGGGGTAAGGAGTAAGGTATAAGGGGTAAGGTATAAGGGGTAAGGTATAAGGGGTCAGGTGTAAGGGGTAAGGTGTAAGGTATAGGGGGTCAGGTGTAAGGGGTAAGTTGTAAGGTGTATGGGGTAAGGTGCAAGGTGCATGGTGTAAGGGGTGAGGGGTAAGGTATATGAAGGTACTATGCAAGGGGTAAGTGACACAGTGTATCGAGGAATGTTTGACACCTTATATATATTGTTTTTGTCAAGCGCTATCTCGTGGCAACCACATCCGCCCCCTTCGCAATCGTAGTATTGAATATCACGTACAAACTACTCACGAGCCACTGTGTCCAATGCCATCCGACGACGTATTGCGGGTACGTCATGTGCGGTGAAATAGAAAGGCGGAAGTTGGCCCTGTGCCAATAGTGGCGCGTATGTGAGTACAAAGACCCCGCATTCGTTCGTGTCACATTGCTTTGGAATGCCCTCTACGTTCCATATGTGATTGAATGGTCTTGTGTCCACCTCTTTGCCTTGTGATTTCGATCTTTCGAATAAAAATTTTGCAAACCCGCCGGTCACTTTCAACGCCAACTCCTTGTTGGGGCCGAGGGGGCCGTAAAATTCGAATTTCCTCCTCCTTAAGTCAGCCACGACCAAGGTCCAGTGGTTCTGGTGTGCGATATGGAAAGGAGCAATAATCAAGTCCATGTCACTTATAATTACGTCCTGGCACCAGCGTTCTACCTCTCGCCCTCTATATCTGAAATCATTGTCGAAAAGTTTGACGAAAAAAAATGAGCTCAACACTGTTACTCGGGGAATGCGACCGTTTCCTTCTCTAATGACTATCTCTTTCTCCGCGTCGCATTCTATGTGCTGTATTCTATACCGGTTGTCCAATGCTAGGAGGTTGAGGTAAAAGTTGATGACGTTGTCGTTTAACCACTGTTGTTCAACAGCGAGCAAAAGGAAATCGCTGCGAGTGAGTTGCAACACTTCATTCTTTTGCGCATCGTGTGTGCTGCCTACGGGATACCTATTCCCGTATTCGCGAATGATATGCGCTATTGTTGCCATCTCCTTTTCTGATAAAGACGAAGTTGCGAGATGCATTGTCCATCCTCTTTTGCACGATCTTGTATTCGTTGTTGTCATTTGCACTGCAAACCACAAACAATGAGTAAAGCGATATTCACGCGGGCAGACGGGGGAAGGATTGTGAGTGCATAGCCAAACGCTTTGTCTGAGCTGAAGCATGCAAAGCATGTTTCCATTGTTCCTCTAATATTTTACTTGTATGAACCTCATTCACGTATGCAGCAATTCATTCCTCGCATTGGTCGACCACCCTCATTGAGTACGTCCGCATACATACATCCATGTCGCACCGGGGGAGAGAGAGAGAGAGAGAGAGAGAGAGAGAGAGAGAGAGAGAGAGAGAGAGAGAGAGAGAGAGAGAGAGAGAGAGAGAGAGAGAGA